GACAAGTCAATAAACAAATTGCAGCACTCACAAGAGGTTTAACGACGATAGCATCAGGTTGTTGATCAAGAGCATTGGAAGAACCACCGCCAAAGTGGTAATAGTCACCCGGAGGAACGAACGGCGGCCTAGACAACTCGAAAGCAAGCTGCCGCTTGAGAGGCGGGAGGATCTGAGCAGGTTGGGAGTGCGGCAGTGGCTCCGACCTGTTCGGAGCTCGAGAGCCGCCGCCACGCATGGAGAATCCAAAGGACAAGAGAGGTGAAACACAGTGGATTTGGAGAAGGAAGATGGAAATGGCATGAAAGTTGAGAAGCTGAGGAAGAAGAAGAAGAAGAAGAAGAATATAGGGTTGTGGGATCAAAATGGAACCAAAGGTGAGGAGGGAAATTTGTGCTGGATGGATGTGGAGGGAAGTGAATTTGTAACTATTTGCATTTTGGCCCTTGGGATCCACTTATATTGCATAATAACCCAAACAATACTTCTGTAACTATTTGCATTTTGGCCCTTGGAAACCATCCATATTAAATAATAATCCAAAAATTACATTATTTTCTTTCTTTCTTTTTCTTGTCTTCTTTTTAGAAACTAAGATTTTCAAATTAAAATGTGAAAATGAGACCAATTTTAAAAATTAATAAAATTTTCATTTTCAAAGTCGAATCATATCATCCTAAAATAAAATGTGAATTAAATGTCTCTCGACCAGAAATATCCATCTACCTTGCAAAATCGATATTTTTAATTTAACTTGTGTGATAATAAAGGCGAGAGTAGGAGAGGTTTCTCCCTTATATTCCTTGTACTTGCCCCTATTATGCCCGCACCAAATGTTGACATTATATTTATATTTTTGTTGTAGATAAAATATTATAAAAACCATTTAAATAATAATTAATTGTTTTTATTTATATAATATTAATAAATGGATCATAAGGCTCAGTATTTCTATCAAATTGATATATCTATCATTCATATTCTTATGTTTACTTATATTATATATAGGTTATATTTTGGGTAAATAAAAAAGAAAGAAAAAAAACACAATTTTGCCATTTATAATAAAATACCCTTCAACTTTGTCGGACCAACTTTGTCTAAACAAAATATTTATGAATTTTGAAAAAAAACACATTTAAACAAAATAAAAAAAAATCAAAAAATCAAAAAATTATATGTTAGTTTTGTATTAAAATAGTTAACTTTTTGTTTAAAAAATAACGTTATTTTTGTTTAAGTTTTATAATAAAAAAAAACCTAAAAAACACTTTTAAACTAAAAAAAAACAAAAAAAATGTATACAAAAAATATAGATGTATTTCTTTTTATTAATTTGGCATTTACAATATTACCATTGACAGTCAAAATCATATTTAAATGCATAATTTCATACTTAATTCAAACGATTAGTTATCGTCGTGGTGTGTGTCTCGCATACATTAACTTTATGTTGAACATTATAACTCATTCATATTTAAATAAATAAATAAAAAAAAAAAAAAAAAAAA